CCTCATGATCACACAGGCTGGTGTGCTTCTTCCACGTGGGTTGGATGGCCATTTGTTTAACTTCAAGCCTTTAAGACCCCAGACGCTATATCTTTTAGTAGCCAGGAACCATTCGTTTTCTTCACTACATTTGCTTATGCACCCATTGTGTCTTCAGCGAGTGTGCCAGGAGGGTGAGCATCTCAGATTGTAGTTTATTAGAACAAAGTGTTCTTGCATTGAGGGAGGGTCTGAGTAGATGCCCAAAGTTAAGACTGTCCTTGATAGTCAGTCATTTTAGACAGACTCCTTTCACTTGTAGAAAAAGGCTGGATGAAAGAGGAGGAACTGTCAAAATAATGTCGGAGAAGAATCACACAGATGCTTACAGTGATCACATCTTTGGGATGTGAAGAAAGCTTATTTAGTTCCCTCCTTGGCCTCAGCGGTCAGAGAGGTTTCAGGTCCTTTCTAGAAATTCTGCTTGGACAACGTGGCAGCACATTTCACGGGACCAGATTTCTGTGAGTCAACATTTTGAGTCTTGAGAGGCTGGGAGGCTATTTCTTTCCTAGCAGAATCCAGACTTTGAAGCTCCTTAGCTAGACATGGAAGAAGGGTCAGAGGTTTCCTTCCAGCGGCTGGCACATGAACTCCTTCAAGGCAAGCTCCGTGGGCTTGACATTTGTGTCCCCTCTGCTGAATACAGAGCCTCCCAACTGCCTCTGTAATAGTTTGCCTAAGTAAAGCCATTTTGTATTAAGCAAACATTCTGACCAGACCCTAGGTGCGACCACAGGCCTTATAGCATTCTCAGAAAAACCAAAATAGCCCCTTATTCTTAAACCTGGCAACAGACCACCCTGCACCAGGAAGTTGTGCTTATCTGCCTAACCGCAAGATCTGCTTCTGTATCAGCTTGCTCGCACAGCTGCACAGCTCAATTGTTTGATAAAAAACCCCATAAAAACCCAAGTCTAGGAGCAAATGGGACCAGCCACCTGCCAGAGACCCCCCCTTTTTTTCCCAGGCGGCTGGTCCCTGCCCAGGTTCTTCTTTTGTTAATAAACTCTTTCAATTCTCCCATCTCACATCTCAGTTGTTCTTGTCCGGCCTATGTACAACACCTCCTTGCCGTCACCACGTGGGACAGCGATCGGTACTTGACACAGTGTGTTAACACTGTTCTTGTCATCTCCCAACCTGACCCTCCTAAAGTCGCCTCCATTTCAGGGCACATTAACTACCTAATCATTTTACGTTCCCCTCATACCACTCAAATTCTGGAGAATTAAGTTATAAATTTAATGAATGTAGCACTACCGCTTAATCCTAGATTAAGTCACCATCAGCTTTCACTTATGTTAATTCTGTAGATTCCCAATGAGTCTCAGAGACCAGAGGGTTCTTTTCAAGCCTGGAGACAGAATGCAATGCATTCTGCTGGC